GTAGTACGTAGTACGTATATATATATATATATATATATATATATATATATATATATATATATATATATATATATATATATATATATATATATATACACACACAGTTATTTTGCTTCCAGATTATTCTCTGCCAAAGACGGTTGTTTAGACTTGAGGATGTGCAGCTTCGAATAAAAACCTGAAATGAACAGGGGTGTGCCCCAAAACACAGCAAAAATCCCCTTTTACCGCACAAGAATGAATGTAGAGTACCTTGAACCCCGGTGTGCTGCTCGGCGCCGGTGTGTCAGACCCGTCTAGTCGGAAGGGCGTACCCTCGATCTCACCCCAGGTCATCATGGGAGATTCATCCACACCTTGGGGTTCAGAAAAAGGAGGCACGTGATCAGGGTGAAGCGTTTACATGTATGTCTACAAAATGAGACACTGTACAATAGCTGAAATATAACAAAAATGCCCCTGAAGTTCCAGAATAAGCCGCCAGGGGGCCCAAGAGCTATGTACTGCCCCCAAATTGTGACCATAGCATTTCCACGATACTGTAATTCACTTTATGTTCACGGAAGCAAAAGTTCACAGTCTGAGAAAAATGGACATACATGTATTCACGGAACCATGTATTCACGGAACCATGTATTCACGGTGGTGACAGTTGCAGGAAAAGAAGTGACAGTGAAAACAGTGAACATAACAGTACTGTGAAAAAATAAGGAATTACATTATATCAAATATATAAGTTACACTGTAGTACTTTGGAAAGCTGCCAGGGGGCCCAAAATCTACATGTAATTATAGACATAACCTCAACAAAACTGTTGAACACCTGTTGCGTCCTACCTGGCGCAGGAGACGGCGTCGCCACAAACCCAAAGCCATTGACCTTGGGAGTGTCCTCTGGCAGGATTTCCTTCCCATCATGCCCTATCTTCCCTCTCTTGATCTGTGCGTTGGCCCCGGCCACCTGCTGCAGTCTGGACTTGGCCACGTCCGAGTCAAATGGAGTCCGCACCAGTCTCGTGTTCTTGTGCAGGATTTCTCGCGGTTTCTTGAAGACGTCTTCTCCTGACTCTGTACCTGTAAGGTTAGAATAGAAAGAAGATGTTTCATTCAGTCAAATGTCTTCAAACTAGAAAGAAGACAGTTGATTAATGTCTCTTATATACATCATATAAACATAGGGATATACTTACTGACATGATTCCTGATTTTTTCATGGTACTTTTATGTCACTTCTGTACCATGAACTTCATTACCGTTATCAAATCATTAATCTCTTGGCCCCCCTGCACTAATGCTGCCACTGTGAAGAGTAAAGTGCACATGACACCAAAATATGACCTTAGCTGATTGTAAATGACATAACTAGTATTACCTGGCTAACAGACACATTAATGATTAATATACGCGGTTCTCCTGTTACATTCAAAATTTTAATGCCCTGCCTTGGAAAAGTCAGCACAAGCCAGTACTGGCAGGTGATTTGCATCTCTACATTTTATCTTTGCGTGTCTGTATGAAAAAGCACAGAAATGCAAAAATAAAACATAGACGATAGAGACGCCCAAAGTGAGTGATTGGGAAGCTTGCTAGAGAGCTTCCAAAAACTCACTTTTAGAAGGCCGTACAAACTCATATGTGTCAGAATGTATCAGAATGTACCATTCTGACATTTTATGAATCATGCAGAAGTTTTCAAACTAACAAGAAAACTGTTGATCAATGTCTCTTTTATACACTAAGTGCATGGATATACATGTATGTGTACTTATTGACATGAAAATGCATAAAACAGATATTTTGTCAACAGGAAACATAATATATGTACATATACACTCCTTTCTGACATTTCATAAATCATTCATAAGTCTTCAAACTACCGTACGTAAAAACAAGACTGTTGACTGAAGTCTCTTTCTTATACACATGCTTGATAAATGAGCAGATGCACTAATTAACAGTGAAATGCATGTAAAAGATCTCCTCTTCAAAGAAACCATCATAATACACCTTTTGTCAACGATGGCCTGACAAATTTGTCACCATAAAATGTGTGTGAACTATAAATGAAAGAATGTTTGGTATAGTCAGACTTTGTGTAGAATACTAATTCACTATAGAAAGTGAAAAAACAATCAATTGTGACAGAAACGGTCCACCTACGATTTTGTCAAAGCCAACTTTTCCTCCCAAAAGCATCAGTCTGACTTTGTACAGAATACTAAATAGTCTTAGTTAAGGCCACACCGTCTTAATTTTATGGATGACATCCTCTGAAGACCCCCAAACTAGTGCGCGCGGGCAAATAAAAAAAAATTCCGGCGAAAAATAAAAATGCTATTAAACCACAGGAATACAAAGCTGGTATTTGCGGCAGTACTTAGCGACGTATACAACAAGCCGGCACATCGATGCTGGCTTTTTGCGGACTTCATGGATCGGCACTGTACGTATGTACTGAGGTCTTGCGTCATGGAGCTTCGGTAGCCTGGGTGGCTGGCTCCGTATTGTCGCTAACTACCATGGACTACCCAGGCCTAGAGCCAGGCCAGAGCCTTGGTGGACGTGATCTTTTTTTTTTGGGGGGGGGGGGGACAGGCGAAAAATCAATGCGCGCGCGGATGTCATCCATGAAATTAAGTCGGTGTGGCTTTAGAGAAAACAAAATGACAATCCATCCTTCCTCATTCCTACCAGAAGAGTCTACATGGTCCTTTGGTTAGGATTGTTGACTAATAGAATCTAAAGGTTCTGGGTTGAAATCCCTTAAGTTAGTAGCAGGCCCCAGTATTGTGCCCTTGGGAAAGGCACTTTACACCTACCTTTCCTCACTCGACTCAAGTGAAAATTTGTGTGTAGCTTCAGCTACTCTCAAATGGGGCATAAAGCCAGAGAGAGAGCCATATATACAGTACTCGAGTACATTAAAGAACCCACGGGACTTTAATTTAATTGAAAAGAATAGAACGCCCTTCTCTGTGAGTGGTTCAAACCCTACAGTCTTGTCTAATGCAGCTTGTACATTTGTACTTTCTATACAAAATTGGTCCCTCGCTGCGATGCCTGAACATCAATTTTAATAATCTTTGAAAACGAAGCTAAGCTGAGAAAGAGACAAAACTGGTCTAGTATGCCTATAAAAGGCAGTTTAACGGTTATGTCAAACAAACAAACAAACAAACAAGTAAAATCTGAGATTTTATACCTCCGGGCTTTTTATTGTATATTTTTATATAGGGTTTTAAACAAAGAATTTATCGAGACCCAACACCCCTCTGTGTGAGGGGTCATATACGTGGACCAGACCAAGAATAGCTTAAACACGCCAAAGGTCAACGGTCGCAACCACTTTCACGCTCAAAGGGGTGTTTTGGGGCCACCAAAAGGCATCATTTTCACGCCAAAAAATACACATACAATAAAAGCAAAAGAACGTGCATCATCTGCAGCCCAATAGCAAAACATATAGCAAGTCTCAAAATAACCCGTCCACCCAAACGCGAGAAACAGCTGCGAACATGAAAATCTAAATCTCTTACAAAACCCTTCCGCGGAAGGATGTCTCCTCCCCCAGAGGTAACAAACAAACAAACAAACATACCTTCTGGGTAATACATGAGTGCGTTCTTGGCTTTATAGCTCCACGTGTCCACACTCGAGGTAGAACCTTCTATAGCCAGCTGTTCAGGACCCTTCAACTGTAGAATCTCCTTTTGTTTCTCAGCGTGTTCCTTCTCAGCATCGTACAGCCAGGAGTGTCTCTGTCTGTTCTTATCCTCTGTTACCTCCATAATGGTACCGAAGGAGGCGTTGTCTTCACTGGTGTTCTTGGCGAGGTATTTGTCCAAGGGTAGGTCTGTGTCTTGTTTTGCTGAGGAAATATGTACAATTACATTAAAGGGGCGTTACATTATATAACAAGTTTGTATAAAAAAGTTTGATAAGAAAAAAATCTTTATGTGATCACGGCTCTACCCAAGCAATGGAGCAAGGGTGTACCCAAAATCCTAGAACCCCTCCCAAAATGTTTTCTCTTAGTTTTTACATGAAAATTCCCTGATTTTTCATCAACGGATTAGGGAGCACCTCTTCCCTCAGAATTTATGGGGACCCCTGGTGATTGTAATTTTCTAGTAAATACTTCTACTTGTCAACATATTTGTGCTGTAACACATTTTTGACATTTATGGTTGGCACTAAAACAGCCCACACGAGATGCTCTGAGTTTGTGGCATCACCACAAACTACCAGAAACTCTACCAGCAAATCTGCCCCTCAAAATGCTGAAAGTAGCGTTTCAGAGGGATAACATTTAAAAAATTTTTGGGGGAGCGTGCCCCAAACTCTTTCTAGGATTGTCGCACCTTTGGTGCTCAACAGGATGTTACGTCAAACAAAATTGATAATGATAGAAAAAAGGTACATTGTGTTACATAAGACATCCTGAAATCTCTTCAAACAAATGTCAGTTGAATTCTTCACTTCTGCCATGGGGGAAGAATTTATTCGTAGACATGTAGAAACAACACTCTAGAGCATTCGGCGACCGTTTGATTTAGAGCTCTGTAACCCTCGAGGAAATGAAGAGGATTCCTGGGGTATCTCACCGAGTCTTCCAGCAAAGCACAGAGATTAAAGACTACAGGAACTCTCCTGAAGGCCTCTAGAGCCACAGCACTACTGTAAAGTCACTTATTTTTGCAGGGACTCAATTTTGCGGTGTGAGGGAAAATGAAGTTGTCACAGTGTTTAACGCTCGCGGTTAAAACAATTCTGTGGTATGGTAGAAATACGAAACAGATATTCGCGGTGTCGTGATTTCAAAGTAAGAGGTTACTTCAAAAATAAAACCAACACAAATATTTTAAGACTTACAGTATTGAGCACGGGTTGTCATATGATGTATAGGGCAATCATGGAAGGAGATCCCTATCGTAAACAACCCGGTACCCAAAAGGGAAGAGTTGCTTCTAACCAAGCGTAGCAAGAGGCCTAGAGCCCTGAAGTCTTATCATATAATGTCAGACACCCAAAGAAGACCGCAGAAGACGGTGGAAAATTTGTACGATGTGTGAATTTTTGTGTTGGATTAAAAGTATAAAAACTGAACAGTATGTATGTATTCTACTAGGCTCTTAAAGTAGGCTATATGAGTCAGGCTTTCTGGAGGCTTATATGGGTCTATAGTGGGTCTCTGGTCAATTCTGCACATCTTTAAGTGTAGTGACCATCTCTTTAAGGATTCTGAAGCAAAAACACTGTGTATGGAAATGAAGGATGTCCCCCTAGCTACAAGAACAACAGAATGTCACTTTCTTTAAAATAACCTCTCAAATTTAGGGCAAAATGATTTTCCGATGAAAAATGATGAAAAAAAAAATTGGCCCTTTTCACTTGAAATGAAACCCATCACCTGTGCTATAGACACCAAAATGATTGAAATTACACTGAATGAATTACAGCTATTCTTTTCATGTGTTTGACATCATATCACAATGCCCTTGTACCTTTCTTCCCCGGTGGCTCCTCCCCCTCCTGGCTGTGATTGACAGCTGTGTGGTGTGATGTTGGGGAGTCCTGTCCTCTGGAACTCTCCACATCAGGTGTCTCAAACGTAGCTGGTGTATCTGTATATATGGACACAAAATCAAGTCTCAATAACCCAATTCAGACCTATTCAAATCGCTATGGGGTGCACATGTTAGTAATATCACAACTACGGCTAAACAGATTTTGGGAGTGATCAAACGTAATCTGTGGGCATGCCTAACTAGAGTAAAATCACTCTTACATACACGTCACTTGTAAGACCGAACCTAGAATATGCCGCGACAGTATGGGATCCATATACAAAGAAAGACAAAGACAAACTGGAAAGGGTACAGAAACAAGCTGCAAGATTCTGAATGAACAACTATGAAAAAGGCGCTACTGTGTCATGGAAATGAAAAGAAACCTACAGTGGGTCTCACTGGAAGACAGAAGAAAAATGTCCAGACTATGCATGATGTACAAAATGACTAATAAACTGGTGGACATACCAAGTACCTAATACCAGCCCAGAAGAGAACAAGAAGCCATGCCTTCAAGTACCAGAGTTAACCAAGGATTGAGGTGTTCAAGAATTCTTTCTTTCCTAGAACTATCGCAGAGTGGAACTCACTGTTGACCCAAGTACAGTACAGTAGTAGGGGCATTGTTATTTATTAGATAGCTTTAAACAATGTCTGGAGTTAGATGTTCAAGGGTTTGGTGTAACATGTCAATCGGTGTAATGTTGCCAGCTGCAGCCGCACCGTGTGCCTGCAAAGCTGGTGTTACGCTGAAGGGTGGTTATACCAGCTATACAGATACAGAAGCTGGTGTCTTACACCGAAGGGCGGTTATACCGGCTATACAGATACAGAAGCTGGTGTGTTATGCCAAAGGGCGGTTATACCGGCTATACAGATACAGAAGCTGGTGTGTTATGCCAAAGGGCGGTTATACTGGCTGTACAGATACAGATGATACAGATGTGTGTCCAGAAATATAGAAACAGAAGAAATGCTGGTGTACATGTGTTATGCTGAAGAGCCGTTATACCATCTATACAGATACAGAAACAGATGATGTTCCTTACACTCCCCCGGTGCCCCCGGTGTTTCTGTGTGCTGTCTGCTGGTCAGTCGGCTGGACCCGTACTTGATGGCCAGCTCTCTCATCTTCTGATGGTCGTTACTCTCCACAGCCTGCAGGTACTCCTGCTGAGCCTTCAGCTTTGTCAGGTCGGGGAAGAAGTCTCGCTGGATGATCGTCTCAAGATCCTGGATAAGATGGAGAAGAACTTGTTTGTTTGTCTGTCTGTTTTAGCAGAATCACCATTATAATATTAGTGTAACAGTGGGGGGTTCATAGGCGCTACCAACTGACCCGGCCGAGGGGTCTAGACCTTTTCGGCCGAGTGGTTAGACTTAGAGCGTCGGAGTCTGAAGCTGGTGCTCGAGAGGTCGTGGGTTCGAACCCCGGCCCGGGACCAGGGGTTTTTACTAGTATCTGTTTCTACTGCTTGCTCGTGTTTCTTACAGTGGTTCCCACACCGGTAATTGAACCCGGGCCTTGGCGGTGAGAGCGCCAAATCCTAACCACTAGACCATAGTCACCATACCTCCATGTATGGAGGTTTTATTTTCAGTGTCTGTCTGTGTGTTTGCTTGTGTTTCGTTAGTTATTTTTGCATGCTAGGCATGTCAGAGTGACAGTCACTGACTGGAAGTAAGGTCAATGGTCCTAGAAAAGGTTATCTCATTTCCCAAGTCATGGAAGATCGTCTCAAGATCTCGGATAAGACATACATGTAGAAGAACTTGTTCTCTCTGTGCATGTATGGCGATTCTATTTTCAGTATGTCTGATTGAGTGTTTGCTTGTGTTTCTGGCAGGAAGTTAGGTCAAAGGTCCATGAAGAGATTATCTCACATCTGTATCTGCTTCTGTATCTGTATCTGTATCTGTAACGTCGTTATAGCCGGTACGCAGTATAAACACCCTTTAGCATAACACACCAGCTAATATAAGTATCTCATATCTTCAGTACTTCCTACTACGTATACGTTTCTCTACATGCAGGTTTGTTGCCTTATGTGGAAGCCAATGACTTCTGCCAAGCTCTTTGTCTAAATATTTCTAGTAACCTCAATTTCTGTTACAAACACACACTCGTTTTCTAGCATAAATTTGATGAAATTGTAACAGTGGGGGGTATCTTTGCCACATATTAAAACGGTATTTACATTCCAAACTTGGACTGGTCTGAATGTTTTTAATGCCATGGATAACGTCACGTGTTTCAGAAAGAGTTTATGAATCTATAAAAATACATACGTACCTTCACATAGGTGTCCTCATCCAAGACTTTCTTCGGAGGCTTCTTTGTTTTGCCCCCCTCCCCACCGTCTTTGGTAGAAACAACCACGGATTTCTCGTCCTTTTTCACGAGAGCCATGGTTCCAAGTTCACTTCTGGTCACTTTTCTTGGTGAAAAGAATTATCTTATGTCACGTTTGACTTTTAAACCAGCAGATATCACAAGTTACACGGCGAAAACAGCATCGTAGAAAGACACAAATCGTCACAACGCAACCGGAAGTAAGCTGAGTAAGGTCAAAGGTTGGGAAATGTATATGACGTCAGGTAGCCGTCAGTACTGCAGTACTGACTAGAGCTGATAGATGTCACTGTGATACTGTCTGCAAATCGGACTTTACTGTCTTACTATCTGCAGAAGGTAGTGAAGACAGAGGTGAAGACAGAGGTACTAGTAGTCACCGGTGGTACAAAAGTGAAGACTTTTATTCCATTAAAAAAGCGGACATCCCTTCCATTTGAGAGTCCAATCGACATTGATATCTTCAAATAAATACTTTGTATTTGTAATTCATATCTCACAATCTCCAAGACACTTTTTGACTACTGATATACTGCTGAGTTATTACGTCTGAAAGTCTTGATGCTCTCATATTTTTAGCCAGACGATTTACTTTAACAGCTTCAATAGTAATCTCTACATGATGGGCTTTCTATGATCTGTTTCACTGGCATGAAGAACTCGAGTATAAATTGAGTCTGCGATCAAAGGACATTCCTTTCACCAACTGTATCTAAACATCCCTCTTGCCAACTCTGACGTTACATACAGCAAGGTAGTTCTATGTAGATAACGTTCGTGTAGATTCCTCAGTCAAAGGACTCTTCCTGCAGCGCCTCCTCCCATTCGTCCTCCTCCTCTTCCTCCTCCTCCTCCTCTTCCTCCTCATATTCCTCCTCATCTGCCTCCTCATATTCCTCCTCCTCATCTTGCTCCTCATCTTCCTGCTCTTCGTGTTCCTGATCACCATTGCCGTCCTCCTCCTGTTCCTCCTCCTCCTCCGCCTCCTCCATCAGTGTCTCCATCCTGGCGTTAGAGTCCCCGGACGCGTTGAGGAAGTCCACCAGCTCCATGGCCTCCACGGAAGCCCGCTGCAGCTCGTGGTAAGCCCGCCCGAAGTTCCTCAGGGGGATGGAGCACAGCATCCCGCTCATGAACAGCAGCACCTCGGCGGTGAAGTAACTGTACAGGTGGATGATCTGTGCGGCTGATACCACCCTGAAACAGACACAGAACAGACAACGTTCAAGTTTGCTTGTGGCCAAATTTTAGGCATCATACGGCGAGGTCACGTTTTATTGTACTGTATTGTACTAGTATTGTATTGCTATACATGTAACAATATTATATTGTAAACTCGAGGAATTCGAATGTCACTAAACAATTTTGTATCCCTTATGACGATTCTAAACAAAAAAACAAACAAACAAACAAACATTCGCCATAGACCGTCGTGAGATTTTGTGAGATCTAGTTGATGATTTTCAAATTGCAAGCTTCCATTATTGACAAAACCAACAACTGACAATGATGTAAGGCATCGTTTTACATACCAAAAAGCTTAATTTTGTGCGATATATATAGTTATATGCAAGACTTTTCCAAAAACGCCATCAGTTTTACGATCTTATAACGACGATCATACGACCGCGGGCGATCGTCGGGCCCTGAGTCGGATAGGACTTGATAGACAGAATCATGAGGCAAACCGTCTCACTTACCCATATGTGATGATGAGCGATAATCTTCAATGACGCTATGTTATGTTCTTTTTGTATGTAAGTTGAAAAAAAATGTGCAAAACATTTCCTAGTTATCCTTAGACAATAGCGATGCTAACTTTACGAAAACTTGAAACTTGTTTTTCCCCCAAACACAAGTGATCTTACCTCTCAGGACGAGTCCCTTCCAAACACGCGATCATCAGCCTTTTCTGTATGATGTCCAGAGTCAGTCCTGTGCCCTGGAGCAGCCTGTCTATGGACGGGAACCTGGCCGCCTGGTTCTCCGTTATGGCGAGATGTAGGACCATCTCTGGGGGTATCCTGACGTCTTGTGCGTGTATCAAACCCTCCATGTCTGAATCCTCAGTCGTCTGCTCATTTTAGACGAACAAAAATTCAAAATGGCAAGTGGTATATCACATTGTTGGCAGGGTATTGTATATTACAGGGTTAATGACCCGCTATTAGGTGTATACGATCATAAGGCTCTTTTCGTTGTTCAGTAACCGTCGAAAAATAAACCTCCGAGTGAGTGAAGTGCACCATTACGTATTTAGACGCACAGCTGAGAAGATCGAAACGGAAACATGCTTGATGATCAGTAAAAATCCCACGATAACTTTTGGTCTGTAGACAACAATTTGACGCATAGAACGCCACCAAAAGTCTGTATAGTTTATGCTGCGTAAGTTCAGGATTCAAACTTCCAGATTTTCCCTCTTCTAAGAAGGAACGTCACAAAGACATGAAGCAAACGAGTCGTCACCTAGATACACAATAACACAAGTATGTTTACCTACCGTGATTTGACACTAAATATTTCTGGTAACCAAAAGTAGAAACGTAGGTACTTTCAAGCGAAAGAAGCCGGCAACATTTGCTCGTTAGTGTATCAACTAACAGCGCAAGAAATTGTTTATTTTGCATTCCCGTTGTTTGTTATTTTTGTTTGTTCCTTAGACCCCACAAGCTCGGAACGGTACGTTGTTGTTCTGTTGTTCCGTTGCCATGACACCGTATTTCAAGACTCCACGAACGGACAAAACTGGTTTAAAAAAAGACCGCACGTAACCGGAAGTGCGAATGTTTACAGACGTTTTTCTTGTATTTACTGACTTAACAGCCACAATGACAAAACAAAAATGGAAAATTCAAAGCTTTTATGACATATTCAGTCGCTCGCGCTGAAGCATACCGGTAACCTGTTCTAATACGTCATCACCTTCCTGCGTTTCTATGGAGCTCATAAACAGTTTGCTATTGTCATCTGCATTGTTCCAGAACAAGTAACATATTTGTGTATCAGTCTGTTTACAGATGCACAAAGTTATCAACCTCTTCGTGATGCGTATGGCTTGAAAACTTAAGGAAAACGTTCGTCACCGAATAGGACAAATGATACGGATATCAACAACAGCTGGATTAGTTAGGAGGACCCGATCATGAGCTTAAAACGGCGGGCAGTTGGCACGGTGAGCAAAACAAACTTCATTCAGTTACTGAAGGTGAATGTACGTGAGTCAAGGGATGGGAAGAAGATACATTCGAAGCTTCTTGAGCCCAGAAACGGAGGTAACAAAACATCAACTATCTTTGTGTTCCTCTGTCTTCACCATCGTCGACAGTGTCAGAAGATGCAGCTCCAAAGGTACGAGAAGAGGAAACTGACAAGCGGATAGAATAAGGGAAGAAATGTACGCCATTTGGGTGCTCAAATTTAAAAATATTGAAGAAGTCTTGTCTTCTGCGATTCTCTTAGTTTATTGTCTTGTACTTGAAGGCAGATTTCTAGTCTTGTTCTTGGCAACACCTGCATAGCTAGGGACTGCGCTGCGCTATCATTGCTATGAAGTCAGGCGTACGCCCATTTGTGTATATGGACAGTTTCCTTGAAGTCAGTGGTCGGGTCTTTAGTTGGCGCATGGCAACACATGTACACGTACACATGTATGTCGTACGGTACTAAGTTGACGGAGAATGTCAGTGGGAAATACAAAATACTTCTTTCATCCCTGAATAGTTTAAACAGGTTGGTAAGACACTGAGTAATGAGACTCTTTTTAAACAATCAAGCAATGTGAACCAGTCAGAATTGCCCTGAGGAAGGTGACTGACGGTCAACGAAACGTCGGCTGAAGAGACTTGGTTGTGTAAAAAGAGTCTCTTTACACAGGTACTTCTTATATATAGCCCGGTGTCCAAACCTATTTCACCTGCCGTGTCTCTTTTGCGAAGAGGACGAAAGAGAAAATGTAGGTAAGTCCACGTGCAGCAGCACCACCATGCGAAATACTTTGGTACTGCAAATAAAATTCTTCAGGTTGTGTAGCACAGCTGAGGTACATGTCTAATCAGTTAATCTCCAAGCAGATCCCTTCCGGTGGCAAGACAGCATCCATTAGCCAGAGAAGTTTGCCAGCCACCGAATGGATACTGCCTTGCCACCGAAAGGGATCTGCTTGGAGATTATTGTCAGTCTATTAGAGGTTATATGACAACAATAGGGCAAAAAGTAATGGCAAGCATCGAGTCAAGTTGTTCACTTACATGTATTTGGGTTCAATCAAATAAACAAGGCGATCCTCTTTTATATACAGTGTACTTATTCTGGAATATCATAACATTGGAAAATTTCTCTGACAACATCATGATTCTTCGCAACAACAAAATGAACTATTCTGAAAATTCTTTCCTCCCCCCAAAAAAGAAAAGAAATTGCAGCACTGCTTGAGTATAAATTGTTACACATTGATAGTTGAGTATGGTGTAGGTTAAGGACAATATATAAATGATGCTTAAAAAGCATATAAGTCCCTCATCTTACATTGTGAGAAGCCATGGATTTTTACACTAGTTCTTACTTCCTGGACAGAAGTATTGTTTTGGGGGCACTGGTTCTGGTAGAGTTTTTACGTTTCTTGCCGGCCCTGAGCTGCAAGGATTGGATGGAGTGGGTGGAGATTGGGTTTAGGTTGATTGACAGGGTTGTGACTTGGTATTCCCTGGGTAGTAAATATAGAATACATCACGGGGTATCCCGTATCGCCCGAGGTATCGGCCCGACCGCGGGTCGGATCGCCCAACGGCCGCAGCGTTCGATAACGGGTTCCGGACCGGGCCGTACCGTAAAGTACGGCCCGGTCTGGAACCCGTTATCGAACGTTATCGCAGCCTGGGTATGATATAAGATGTGGTATGAGGTCACCAGGAATGTGAACTGTCTAATAATGATATGAAACATAAACCATGGAGCAAGTTACCTCAAACAATTAAATGAATAATAATGCATTCTATGACGTAATTCAGTTGGGTATTTCCCCATGATCATACAGACAAACAATACAGTTCCAACACATATGTGTACAAACATTTGCCAAAGGTCTCTGATTTCTTGTTACAAATGTATACCATAGCATTTTTGCATGCGCCGAAATGCCATGATACGAGACAAACATTCGGCATAACAATGGAACCATGGGCCATTCTGCCAGCCAGATTTGCCATTTTACTAGCTGTCTCTAGATGGCGTTGTTGATACGTGAACCTGATGCTATTTTGCCACATGTCGCTAGATGTCACTGTTCATTATATGTATATGTATAATGTGTAAACCAGCAAATTGAGAAGATTTTAAGACATTTTAGGAAGGATAGTGGTGTGTGTTTTTGGTAGACACCTCGTGGAGACTTAAACCGATGTCAGTTTCTGTGCATGTACAAAAGTGACGCATTGTAGGTAACATATCAAAGGTGGCTCTGAGACACAAACAATGTGTTTATGAGACTTCGCCTTTGAACATGCAGAGTTTCAAAATGGTGAACTGGTTATTCTTGTGAAAATTATGATTTCCACAGTTACCCAATTTTACACACCATACATGATCCTTCCCAGTCCATCCCTTTGAAATAATTATCACAGATTAAACTTCAACATATCATATTCAAGCACATGTCTATTCATTGTAATCAGAAAAACTTATTTAAACTTACTTAAACGTAATCAATACATAACTTAGTGCATTTCATTACATATACAATGATACATGGCAAGATTATGTATTTAAAGACAGTCAAGATAACCACAGATTTCACTGAAAAATTTCAAAATGTATATATCATTGCACAGACAATGCACCACATTCCAACAAACACAAAAAGACACTGTATTTCTTTTGATTCTTGAGAAAGTATACTGTAAATCACTTGATGGTCGCACTGGCAAAAGTTAACAGTCTGAGAAAAATGGACATCTTTGTGGAACTACATTTTCTGGGTGGTGGCAGGTGCAGCAAAAAGAAAGTCAGCGAATTATTTGTTCACAGTAATGGTAAGTTCTCGGCACAGAAGTGACCACAAAAACCGTGAATATAGATTCTGTCGTACCATCCGGATAAAATTGTGAGTCCTCTCAACTCAATTTATTTGCAGCTCCGTTGTTTGTACACAGGGGGTGTTTCTGCACTGCTCTTTGGATGTATTGCTGGTTGAAAATCTCTGTTGACTGATCAAGTAGTGATAGCAACTGCCTCCTTACATGCTTGTCTAACACTCATCTCCTGTAGAAAAAAAAAGAACAAGAAATGTAAGACCAGAAAAAACACTCCACCAGGCAGTTAGGCCACACCAAGTAAATTTCATGGATGACGTCCTTTGGGTACCCTGTATCTAATGCGAGAGGGCGGAAAAAAAACAAGAAGGGCCCTAAAAAACAAGATGCCTAGATTAGAAATATACTACACGACAAATGTTAGGACACAAATTGAATGAGGTGACACAGATCAACAACCAAGAAGTCTTTTATTCATCATCAAAACAGCAATAAATCAGGTGGAACAGCAGTTGTCCTGTCCTGTTTCTTTCATCACATTTTTGCAGGCCTGCAGAAACAAAGCATGTGCTCTTTACCCATTTCGCGTTACGGGTTTCACGTCAATCTGACGATTTGCGGCACTGTCGTGACTCTTTGGTCATAGTTACAGGAAGCGGAATTTCTTGTATTTTTTTCTAGGAACAGGCCAAAATCAATGCGCGCGCGGATGTCATCCATAAAATTTACTTGGTGTGGCCTTAGCAAAAAAACAAACAACAACACTAGAGAGGCCGACATTTGCTTGGGAGCAAATACAGCATATTTCAGTCCATCTCCCTCCCACGCAAAAGTGGACTATTCCAAACTTACGCCAGTGTAAAACTGGCAAAGATTCTCAATTAAATGAATTATATAGTAGCGATGTAATTGAGAACAAAGATACAACAACAAGCACATTGAATCTCGAAAGCTTTACTAATCTTCTTACAGGTATGCAAATACTAACAATGATGAGATTTGATACATTTTGAAGGTCTTAGGCACATAAAATTGAATGTGTGGGTCATTACGCACGACTTACGTGCAATGTGACCTCAGGTAACCCGCAATGGAACACCTGTTCCATGGCCAACGGCAGATAGAACGTGCCATTCTTTAGATAGAACATGGAACGGGTATAGCACTTTTGGCCCTTTTTTTGCTGAAAATAGCCATTAAAGTCCCCCAAATGAGTCATTTGGAAGTGGTGTATGCCAAATATGTGACTGTTGTTCTGTAGACACATGTTCAAGGTACCCTTATACCGAATTTCAGATCATTTGGTTGTAAAACCAGGGCTCAGGAGCCAAAAATCCATTTTTTGGCGAAAAATGCCCCAAAAAACCTTCATAAAAATATTTTGAAGGCATGTATCAAAAAAATGAAAAAAACGCCTGGGGGTATTGGCCCACTCTACCTCCATGCCAAATTTCAAGTCATTTGGCTGAATGATGGCGGAGTTGAATCCCTCTGACTGTGTGGCAGGAGGAGGAGAAGGAGGAGAAGAAACATCAGAGAACACAATATATTTCATCCATACCATGGTATGGACTGAAATATAAAAAAACAATATTCACTACCGGTAGCGTGCATAGTACAGTGGCTAGTCACCCTGCCTCTGGACCAAGTGGTCATAAGTTTGAATCCCGGCAAAGTCGCTCAACCAACATGAATGATACTGGAATGCGTTGAATACCTCAGGGTTGAACATTTAAGCCATGGGACACTGTTTGTTGCACTAAATTTACTGTTGAAAAGAGCTTACTAGGGGAATTTGACATAAAACTCACCCATGCCCCCAACAGTTGTGTGAGTGAATGTTGGTCAGGCAGTTTTAATAACCTCAGATCCAGGGACTTCTTCACTGTCTGCAGAAATGATGTGGAGTCTGGAAAGGAAGAGAGGTATATAATTTTATATAGATATGTGATAAATTGCAGCAATTGCAAATGTAGAAAGTCACATATTTGAACATATTCACATGTTCTTTGGGGTTTTTCTCCGGATTCAAGTCCAGAGGTTTAGGTTCAGTTCCGGACTTGCAAGTCCGGACCTAAACCCATGACGTATACAAAATTGCATGTTGGCAACCTTGCAATGTTGTCTGGGTGAAACTTTGGCCACATAACATGGAGGCCGGTACTTGACGATGCCCGATGGCAATGTTTTCGTCATTTTGCAGCAAAGATTTTGCAATGTATGGATGGTTTTAGGTGGTTTGGAAAGAAAAGGGGTATGTGAAATGGTCTTTTATGGTAATAAGTCCGGACTCGGTTCTTGACTTTTAGTTTTTTTTGGACTTGAACCTAAACATTCTTACAAGTCCGGATCCAAGTCTAGTGAACCGGTATGCATCACTACTTCAAACAAATATATTTTTGTGTAAACTTAAACAAAAGTGGTCTACCTTCACCTTTGACCTCATGCATGCACAGTTCAAATCTGCTTGTTGTAACTGTTTTTGACAATGCTATTGACATGTTCAGCACTTAATTCCCTCGACCAAGGAACAGGCTTACCATAGTCATGTGACTCTGCAGTGCATTGTGGGCTTTCCTCTGGGTACTGCTCAGGCACAACCACGAAGATGGGAGGCACACTGGGAAGGGACCTGTCGTCTGGGGGTGCGGGAAGATATTATATTAACAATCATTTTCAGACCAACTTTAATATCCTGTTATTCTGCTTTTCCTCTGCAAATAAGGGTCGTGTGGCGTAGCGGCAGACTGCTCAACTCAGAACCAAGAGGTCCCGGGTTTGAGTCCTGACATGCCACTGATCTTGTGCCCTTGGGAAAGGCACTTTACATGACTTTCCCCACTTAACTCAAGCAAAAATAAGTATTGTCTGTCCTGTATTCGTTTCTATGTGCGGGAAACAACACCAGAAACAGCTGCCTCTGTTCCACGTGTATTGCACTGTTGCAATTTCAATAAAATAAAATAAAATAATAGTTTTATGTCCAGGCTACCTGTGCATCATACTAAAATCTAATCAAACAAGGGAATCAGAATCTGACATTAAACAAGAGATCAGAGATTTCGGACTTCCGGAAAGTGTTTGAGGGTTTTTGTGACCTTCGAGTTCGCAGACCCCGGAGCATGTTTTGGGTTCTTGCGTATGTATTGCAACTATGGCCTTTTTAGCTCAAATTTTCAAAAGCTCCGCACCAAGGAAGAGAGCACATCCCCCCTTCCACCCCATCCCCCCTCTCGGTCGCTTCACTCCCTTGACATGCGGCCAGTGCCACTGTGCTAAAATTAAATCCTAGCTAGAACCCCACAGCCCCTTTCGTATCACGAGAAGAAAAGTTGTTCTCACCCAGTTTACAGACCAGGTGGACGGAGGTGCTACTGTTGTTCTGGGTGGGGTCCAGGCTGACCTTGAACTTCTGGTCCAGCTTGGCCACCTCCCCCTGCAGGATGTTGGGAATGCTGCACTCCTGACGGGGGATGGTTCTCTGTCGTTTGGGCGGGGGACCTGGGAAACTGCAGGGGGGGAGGACAACAGGGTGGGTAAGCACTGGCCAGGGGTAAATGGACCTAAACCATTATTACATCACAGTTTGTTTACCGCAATGAATGCCGGTCAATCGACATTTATATTGTACAGGGGTGCGTAGCGCGGTGTGTGTTTGTGTAGCGTTAGACTTAATATAAGGCCTTTATACAGTACTACTTTCGTCTAATGTCACAACTAAATCACCCATTACGGCATATTATGCTGTGTCAACAAGACTAGATGCAGCAAAAATCAACCACACCTGTGAAAACTTGAAATGTTCTTTATTCTTTAACTGACTGTTCTAGAATGTTCTTTAGAACAGGTAAACAAACTGTGATGTAATAATGGTATAGGTCCATTGGAGACTATACAAATGGTAGTACATTTGTACATGTACAAAAAAAATATTAGTTTTCAACACAGGTTGGATCTCACTCATTACCCCTGTGTGTGGAGGCTATATTTTTAGTGTGTTTGTTTGTTTGCTTGCTTGTGTGTCTGCAGTTATTTGAATACAGTAGTGTCACAGAAAGTGAGGGGGATTGGTGCAACTGCAGACTGACAGGAAGGTCAAATTGGAGGTCAAAACAGTCTCCATGCAGGCTGAGAGGAAGTGAGGTCAAAACAGTCTCAGCGCATCAAAACGATCATTTACTTTGAAAGTTACTAAGTTTCCTGAACCAACCAAGGATTGAGGTGTTCAAAAACTTGTCTTTTCCTAGAACTACTGTAGAGTGGAACTCGCCACCACCAAGTACAGTAGGGGCATAATCACTGTATAGCCTCAAACAATGTTGAGAGATGGATGTACAAACGTAGGTGTATTTTGGTGTAATATAGCTGTTCTGCTTGCCTGCAAAGATGGTATTTTACAATGAAGGGCGGTTTTACAGGCTGTACAGATACAGAGATTGGGGTCCTTACCAGATAGGTGGCCCATGCAGCGCGGTCAGTGCCGGTCCAAACGTCCTCTTCAGGGTGTGGTTGAGCATGGGGGAGCCCAGCTGGCTGGCCACAGCGTCCAGCAGGGGCTGGCACATGTGCTGCTGAGACTTGGGCAGGGGAGCCGGGGTGGTGGTGGTGGTGGTGCTGGTGCTACTCGTCGTGTGGCTCTGTAGCATTCAAGGCAATTAAACATATGAAGTACAGTTAAACCTGCCAAGGTGACCGCCTCTTCAAGCAGGCCCCCTGTCCACGGTGACCGCTTTTTCTCGGTCCCAAAATTTTTCCCCATTGACACAAGCATTAAGCGACCTGTCCAAGGTGACCACCTGGCCAACAGGACCACGACCACCCTGAGTTGGGTCTGCTCAAGGCCTGATACCTGCCCATGGTGACCACATCATTTTGGATCATGTTCATTATTGACACTAGTAACTAATGAGAAATCATGGAGAAACCAGCCAGTTTGCCTCGACTGCTAGATGATGTTTTTGTACGACATAAATTGTTCATGTGCCACTCTCCCCACATGCATTTACAGCATTTGACATTAGAACATCTTGACTTAGAAACCTCTTCAAGGAGACCACCTGTCCAAGGTGACCACTTTTCTTTGGTCCCCTGGGTGGCCGGCTTGGATAGGTTTGACTGTGTATTTATCAACATAAACTTATCAACATTTACCACATTTGTGGAAGGATTGACATAACAGGTGACTATCACCTCTTCAAGATGTCAAACCTGAGACCAGGCTGTAAGGTTTGAACCATTCACACTGGAAACAACCCTACTCTGTTTTTGTGGTGGGATCTTTAATGTGCTTGAAGTGTGGCTCTTCTTAAACACGCGACCTCCTGCTTTACTTCTCTTTTTTCATAATACACTTCTAAAGCTAGCGGGGCATAGTCATGTACGTGTCTCATAAATGAAAAAGAAAATGATCAGAGAAAGTTACCATCTTCATTTGTAGCTCCAACTTTTCCAGTACTTGTTCACACTTCAGCAATGTTTGATATTGGAGTCTGTAACAAACACGATAGATATACATGTATTAATGTAACACAAAGACTCAACTCCTGGTTCCTGCAGATGATTAAAAGGCTCACAAAACTCACATTTTACTCTGAGGCCACACCAATTTAATTTCTTGGTTAACGGATTCGCCGCTTCATTTTTTTCTGATTTGCAAATAAAAATAAAAATTCAGAATCAGCTGCAAGATGCTCATATTTTGCCCTGCACAGTTGAAAACAGTCCTTTTCTTGCTACTTGTTACAGTCATCCCATATTTCAATGCAATGGTATCATTAAAAGTTCAAAATTCATTGTTTAAATTTTGAACCAGCCTGGTGTGTTGACTTCATGGCTCCTATCGTAACCATTTTGGACAATAATAGGATGCCTAGGCCTGTTTTTATTTTTTATTTTTTTCTTCGCCCGCCCGCCCACCCGCCCGCTCCATTATTTTTCTAGAAAAATCCGTTAAACAAGAAATTAAATTGGTATGGCCTGAGCAACCTAGCCTGGGTACCATCCCCAGTAGTATATTCGCAAACTCTATAACTGGGTCTGGACTTGCACACATATAAAACGATTGGTCATGACGTCACGTAATGAGCTAGCCCGAGCAGCGGGGCTTCATTTGATTGGCTGAGCCTCAGAGGCGACGGCCAATGGCGCACCTGCATTATTCAAGTGATGTTTGTTGTTTTGTAAACACAGATCTTCGCGCGAGTGTTCCTTTTCTCGGTGCGTTCTTTTTTTTTACCGGTAGGACGCCTAAAACATCACGAACGAAATTATTCAATGCATCTTTTTGCTCATTTTTGAGCGACGATATTCCGTCTAAATCGTCCAAAACGGACGTGATTGCAATGTCAACATCAACCTCCGTGAGCTGAGCGGCTTGTGCGTCAGCCATGTTGATGATTTATCGCGGAAAGACTGACTACGGCTATATCATGTGCGCTTTAGCGTTCGGTTCTCCGTCGGACATGTTGATGATAAGGCGTTCGGACGTTCGAACGGACGCTAACGTCGCCGTTCGGACATCCGAACAGCCCTTACCTAATATGTACACACCCAAAAAAGGGCTTAGACGAGTAGGACCAATCAGCGCGCTCGTTCAAAATCTGAACGAATATTTAGACTCCAGACGCTACATATGTGTGCAAGTCCAGACCCAGTTATAGAGTTTGCGAATATACTACTGGGGATGGTACCCAGGCTATGAGCAACCATTTTTCCCTCAGCAACTATTTTTTCAAATCCTATCAAATGGCTAAAATAATATCAAACACTATAGTCATCTCTCCCTGCATTGAAATAGTCATGTTAACATGTATCATCAGAACATTTTTTTCATCTGATTTGAAAAAATGTTCTTACAAAGTCAAATTCTACTCTTTGAGGCAACAGACTTTTGTGTGCTTCAATTGGTGTCATGCATAATTATTCCCATGCTTAGTGTGTTCATGGCATGAAAGAGTGTCATGTGCATTCTATTACGTTATTACTTTAGAATGTACCTGTAGTTCCTGTTCACTATATATTAAATAGAATAGCATCAATATTTAACTCAATACGCATTGTGTATAGTACTGCTTACTAACTTGCCATACACTTCATGTTATATTGTTTACCCTAAACAAAGCCTGACCCTTTGCCAAACCGGGAACTATAAATACATGTACCAAGTTAGAGGTTGCAATACTTGTATGTAAACAGATCAATGACAATACATGTAGAAACATTATGTAAGTCTAACTCAAAATGCAATCCACAGTCTTATTAGGTGGGCATCAACTGTAGTACATGTAATAAGTACAGAATTTTAATGCATAAATCTACAATTTATACTATCATAACTAAACTACATTTCACAACATGCTTCATGTACTGTAACAGCAAGGCTTGAAATTCATATTTGTAAGTAGATGAAAAGAATAAGATGCATACTAGAATACTTTTAATACTTTACATATATTATATAAACCTACAAAAATATCTGGAGGAAAAAAATTGGGTGCACTATTAAAGGTGTACACATACATGCATCCAGTATTTCCAGCCCTGTAACATTATGCCAGCTATTTTAGTCTGTATTGTTTACTCCATTCTATTAGATGATTGGGCCACACCAATTGAATTTGTTGTTTCTCGGATTTTTTCAGGAAAAATATGAAGCGACAGGGCAAAAAAGAAAAAAAAACAGGCCAAGGCACCCCATGATAGCTGGAAATGTTATGATATAAGCCATGAGGTCAAAATACCAGGCTGGTTAAATTATAATTAAAACAATAGATTTTGAACTTTTAATGAAAGTTGAAAAGGATTTTCTTCAACTGTTGGGGCCAAAATATGTCTTTCATTGAGCCTTTTGCATTTGATTTAGAATGTAAAAAAAAAATTTTTTTTTTTTGCAAATCAGAAAAAAAATGGACAGGACAAATCTGAGAAACAACAAATTGAATTGGTGTGGCCTTGGGAACAAAAAAAAAAATATCTCACCGTTTTTTCTGGTCAGTGAGAATTTCTAACAAGTTCTTCATCTTGCTGAGGTCCTTCTTGTGCTCTGTAGGAATAAAACAAATCCTCATCATGTTTGACCTTGACATCCAATGACCTTAGTGGTCAGCCTCCCGAACTTGAAGCCTGTGGCCTTGCTGCTGTAAGGTGAGCTGGAGGTCATGGTTTAAAATTAAAGGCATCCAATGCGATTTCAGGGCAGCAAAACTGGACATATTCTGAATAAGGCAAACTGTATGATATTGACACATACTGCTTCACATTAGCACATTTCAATCAGTATTTCATACTTTGGGTATTTAAAATGCAGAAACAAGCCCTGAGATGAGTCCTTTATTTTAAGGATTGTACCATAAAATTCAGCCAAGGGCCCTTCCAGTAACCATTTTCTGTCAGAATTTTGGGAATTTTTGCTCCATATGGGTCAATACACATTGGGATAGTGTGATTTCAACTTCAAGTTAGTATGTACATGTAGATAAGTGACTACAATATTGGCTTTGAACAATCGGGTTTCCAAGCCCTAAAAACTGCACTGGATGCCTTTAATAGAAGATTATTTTTGCAGAACCCTCATTATTTTCATGTTAGAAGGGAAACCAGATGTTTTCATACCGTTTTAAGTTTGCAGTTGAAACAATTTTGTAGTACAAAAAATAATGGTGATGATATTTTGACCAGAGAAAGGGTGCACTTTATTTATAGCGAGCATAAACAACTTTTTTTTTACAAGCCAATGATTTTCTCCTTAATTTTCTTAAAAATCATGACTGGAATGATATCAGACACTTGGATGTGCCATGCACATACATTCAGTTTCTTAAGCTTTTTAAACGCAGAGCCTAGCACAATAGATGTATAATTTTACCTGTAGACGGGGCTTGGCCATCCGTGCTGGCTGTGTTTTGAGAAAAGAATAGGTGAAGAAAACATAATCATATCACAACACTCCAGCAACAGCGGAGTGCATTTGGACGGCCTTGTTTGGCGCAGAAAGGCAGCATAAGACTGTGACATGAATTTGAATCCAATAACAGTTGAACTGCCACATGGTCACTGAGCTCTGTTTCCAATTTCATACGATACATTTTTGTGCAAAAAATATGCCTGACTCTCTAGTGATTTTTCAGTTTGTCAATATATGGAGATATAAACAAATATGGCCAAATGCTCATTGGCTGAGTGACTGTGACTTTGAGAACTAAGCGAGTGTACTTAACCTTCTCTCTGCTGAAGGAGCCTTTTGGTACTAAATTTGTGTTAGTTGTGGGGTTAGGCCACATCAATTTAATTTCTTGGTTAACGGATTTTCCTAGAAAAATGATGGAGTGGGTGGGCGAAAAAATAAAAAATAAAAACAGGCCTAGGCATCCTAAATGTATTATGGCCCAAAATGGTATCATAGGAGCCATGAAGTCAACACACCAGGCTGGTTCAAAAGTCAAACAGTGAATTTTGAACTTTTAATGATACCACTGCATTGAAAGATGGAATAACTGTAACAACTAGGAAGAAAAGGACTGTTTTCAACTGTTCTGAGCAAAATATGAGCATTTTGCAGTTGATTCTGAAATTTTTTTTTTACAAATCAGAAAAGAATGAAGCGGGCGAATCCGTTAACCAAGAAAATAGATTGGCGTGGCCTTAGGCAGCAGGGAGAAGGTTAAAGAAGAGCAGTAAGACATTACAATAAGGAGAATGTTTCATCTTGACAGGATTCTCTCACCGTCAGTGTTGCTGACTCTCTTGATCATTCTCTGCAGAGGGTCGATGTATTTAGACAGCTGTTTCCACTTCTCCAGGTACGCCTGTTCTTCTGTGGCGTTACGAGGGCTGGGCGCCATCCCTACAGACCCAGGGTTACCTAAAGCAAGTGTCTCATCAGTTTTAGCGCGGTCACATTTGTTGTAGGACTGGTTATTGTATGATTTTCATATCGCACAATTTTTAAGCAGCCTGTGTCAGTACCAACCACTGACAAGGATCTAACATCTGTGTCCATACATGTTTGTAATATCACCAGGGTCCATAATATCGCCACCTTGAGAAACAGTGTGCGTAAAGATATTTTTACTACAACATACTTTTGGTATGCACTCCTTCACACATCAAATGTGCATACCTAGGGTATGTTTCAGTAAAATATCTTTAAGCACATTTCTCAAGGTGGCAATATTATGGACCCTGGTGATATTATGGACACGGATGTTACATGTATGACAGCCTTCTTGTTAACAAGTCAGCTGAATTTTGTACGATTATCCCAAGAATTCCCTCACTTTGACATTGTACAGTCTCTAAACAAGCAAACTAATCTCTTCAACAAGCTAAATTTGATACTTCTATGGAACAGTAAATTGCCCCCTGAACAAAGTCTACCAACATTTCTTCAACTCGTTACTCAAATGAATTTTGCAAAAAGGGCTGATTTATACATTATATTCAGCTTTGAAGACTGGACTTGGCTAACATTTCAAAAAGAAAAAAAACATTTCTGTCATTAATGAAATTGTATATCTCCACTACATGTACTTCCTACACGTATACAGCCCATTAGCAAGCCTATTTTGTTTCAAGTAGAAATAATGCTGCCAGCCAGCGGCTGAAGGTCTGACTTCTCACCAGGTGTATTGAGTGAGACAGGAGACTGGACCCCGGCGGGCGTGCGAGCAGTTGTGCTGGCTGGGGAGGGGGCCATGCTGGGCTGGGGGGAGGGGCTGGGCAGCATGGTGGCTGGAGACGCAGCAGACTGAGAACTGCAGGAACAAGGGGAAATTTACACTTTCATGTAGTTTAATTTCTGGTCTCTATGAGGCCATGCTGATTTGATTATGGATGACATCCGTTCGCGCATGAATTTTTTGCCCTTTCAAAAAGAAGTTTGCTGTGAAACAAAAACAGTTGCAAAATAAGCAAATATATACCATAAGTTGCACAAAAAAATATTGGAAAACAATATCAATGTTACAGTTACTGTAGTAGAATGCCAAAATCAAATGAAAAAGACAAAAATGTACAGAAATGAATTTGAAGAGAGGACTATTTGCCATACCATACTCTGTGTCATTTGTTCAACCCTCATGACCATGTAGATTTCAACTTTTGTTTTTTCCAAACTTTTTTTATTCGCACGCTCACATCAGTTTTGGGGTTCCCAGAGGATGTCATCCATATAATCAAATCAACATGGAACGATATACATGTATGTTAGTTGAGGACAGGCTACCATGGGTCCCTATGTGATCAACTCAGGTACATGTAGTTACCTCAATGGAAATTGAAGTATTGTTTTAGGTGCAATTGTGTGTTTATCTCTGCATGTGTGTGTGTTTCTGCATATTTGTCGCTGTTATAAAAAAGATTACATCCTCCGAGGCTCTGGCCTGGCTCAAGGCCTAGGTAGTCAATGGTACATAATGTAGTTAGTGACAATACGGAGGTGGTAACTCTGGAGGACGGCAACCAGGCTGCCAAAGCTCCACAACTCAAGAAATCATACGTACAGTGCCGATTCATAAATTCCGCAAAAGGCCAGCATGTGCCAGCTTGTCGTATATGTCGCTTTGTACTGTCGTAAATTCACAATACCAGCTTTGTATTCCTGTGGTTTAGTAGCATTTTTATTTCATGGCCAGAATTTTTTTTATTCGCACGCGCGTACTAGTTTGGGGGTCTTCAGAGGATCTCATCCACAATAAAATTAAATCGGTGTGGCCTTATGTAAGAAAAAAGTGGTGATGTTTGGTCCCCCTTGCAACTTGTTCTGGAACTGCAGGGGAGTTTTTGTTAAGATGATAAGTCAGGAATGTTATTTACCTTGACTGTGGTGTGTGTTGTCTCTGCACTGAGCCAGGTTGAGCAGGTGAAGCCACCTGTCTCTGCATGGAGCCAGGCTGGGCCGGGGAGGCCACCTGCCTCTGGATGGAGCCGGTCTGTGCAGGTGATGCCACCTGCCTGTGCATGGTGGTGGTCTGTGCAGGTGAAGCCACCTGTCTCTGCATTGAGCTAGTCTGTGCAGGGGAGGCCACCGGTCGCTGCATGGCACTACTCTGGGCTGGGGACGCCACCTGTGGGGAAAACGTAACCAGTTAAAACCAGATATCTGAGATTTCAAACCTCAGAGAAGTATCTATTACAGTTTTGGCATAACCAAAGAAATGATCTGACAGACTACAACAGGCCTAGGACAGAAACTCATGCAGGCTGAGAGGCTGGAAGAGCATAAATCTAACTTGTTGTGACAAGCCCTAAGTGGGTATCCCCAGTGATATGTACACAATATGCAAAACAATGTAGTATCTGTGTGTGTGGACCTTCCTGTCAATCTGTGGTTACAGAATGTCCCCATCCCTTCCTAACACTCTATACTGCATTCAAATACCTACAGACACACAGGCAAATACACACAAACATGCCTAAAACAAAACCTCCATGCCCGGAGGTAATTAGGGCTGTCAGGCAGTTACACATGTACTGTAGTTACATGTACCCATGTAACTTGTGCTTTTTTTATGAAACACCCCTTATGCATTTTTCTGCAATATGTCTAGCTGTACCTGTACAGAGCCTGGACTCTGGCCTTGTAGTTGCTGACTAGGAGACAGCAGTCCTCCGATCTTCTGCTGTCTCTGCAGCGAAGGTCTCTGGACCAGCATCTGCTGTTGCTGTGACTGCTGCTGCTGTTGTTGTTGTTGCTGCTGCTGCTGTTGTTGCTGTAACTGCTGCTGTTTCTGTTGCTGCAGCTGCTTCTGCTGCTGTAACTAAGGTGAACAGCATTTCTTTGCTTGTCAGCATGTTTGGTACAGACATTTCTTATTAAGAAATTATGGATTTCAGACCTCCAAGAATTGGTTTGGGTTTTTCTGAATGTACTGGAACTGTGGAGGGATTGTATGATGCAATGTGTATTATAACATCACTTCCTGAATTCCTCCATGTACCACCCACTTACTCCCACCGGGTGCATACTGGGTTACGTTCAGACTTGATCTTTCTGTCAATCAACACTAACCAAATATTCATTCATTCTCCCTGCACCTGTAACGATGTATTCATTAATTACTAATCACCTGTTGTAGCTGTTGTTGTTGTTGCTGCAGCTGCTGTTGTTGTAGCTGCTGCTGCTGTAATTGTTGCTGCATTAGATTTTGCTGCTGTTGTTGCTGCTGCTGTTGTTGCTGCTGTTGTTGTTGCTGTTGCTGCTGCTGCTGGTGTTGCTGCTGTTGTAACTGCTGCTGCTGCTGTAGTCGCTGCTGTATCTGTTGCTGCACCAGCTGTGCTCGAGTTTGCCCCTGGAACTGTTGCCTCTGCTGGGCCTGGAACTGGGCTAATTGGGGAAAAGGGAGGATGCTATTTCTGGTTGATTGCTTGAATGAAGCGTTGATTTGTTCATAATCAACAGCCAATGAAAATGCAGTCTGCTATGCATTAAATTAACTGCAGATGATATATTTCACTCTTAGTGTTCAACATACAACAAGAAATCAGAGATTTCAGGCTCCCGCAAAGTATTTTGTATTTTTGTGACATTCAAATTCACAGACCTCTTGGAAGTGATTTGGAAACAGTGTAGGGATGGTATGATGTAATTTTATTGGGTATTACACCACATCCTGAAGGCTCTTTTCAAATCGACGCATTTCAAGGAATCGAAAAACCAAATATGGATATTCTTAAGTTTTTTTGTAAAGATAATTGTCGTAATCTTCACCGAGCGGCCGAGTCCATTGTAAGCTATATGAGGCATGCACGGCACGAAAACGCAAATATCAAAGGCACACGCGACTGCAGAAACTTCATGTCAAAACAAAGTTTTCCTTTGTTTCATACACATATGGAGTCTAATTTTCAGTTCACATTTTTAGTAATGTAGCAATCGGAAAATTATCACAAGGCTCATTATAACGGCCGTAGCCCGAGGTGGGGTGGTGTTACGGCCGTGGTGCTTAGTGGGTTACGGCCAGCCGCGACCGCAATCGGCGGTGTTGACATGCCGGCCGGACTGGAATGGGGTGACTGCTGACCGCGTTGAACAGTGACCACTATAGACACGATTCTTACTGCTTACGTCAATGGGAAAAATTCAAGGGACCGGCAAAAACTGACCGCTATGGCCGAGTGACCACTATACAAAGGTGACCGCTAGTACAGGTTGGACTGTATCATTGAACCAGTTTCTGTACCTTGCTGCTGCTGCTGTTGCATTGTGGGAGCCATTCTAGCCTGGCCTCCGGGTTGTGGCGGCTGTGGGGGAAGAGGCTGCTGGGAAGTCTGGAAGGGCTGCTGAGACTGCTGAAATGCCTGCTGGGAATGCTGAAAGGGCTGCTGGGATTGCTGGAACTGCTGCGGAGGCGGCTGCTGCTGGAACTGAGGCTGCTGGGACATCTGCTGCTGCATGGCCTGCTGGGTAGACTGGGCCAGCTGACTCTGCAAAGCCAGCTGGGAAGGCTGCGACATCTGCATGGCCTGCTGGGAAGGTTGTCCCTGGGACAGGGAGGTGAGGTTCTGGAGTGCGTTCATTGGGTCTGGGGTAAGAGATAGAGGAACAACAATTAGTTATCAGTGCAGTGTATGACTGCTGTGGATTGATGCCTAGAAAATTTAATGTTTAATGTACTCAGTTCTTGAGTCGTGAAACTTTGGTAGCCTCGGTGCCATCCTCTAAAAGTTACTGCCGCCGTATTGTCGCTAACTAGGCCAGGCCAGAGCCTTGGAGGATGTGATCTCTCTCTCTTTTTTCAGAACAGGCGAAAATCAATGCGCGCGCAGATGTCATCCATAAAATTAAGTCGGTGTGGCCTTAATATGTTCAAACTTGTGTTACCTTGCTGAGGTCCTCCGCCTTGTCTCTGCTGGTCTTTCTTGGTTTCTGAGATGACATAATAAAAATTAATATACCTTCAATACTACAATACTCAATAACAAAGAATTGAATCTAAGAAAGAATATATGTGTCATTCACTCTCGACTAAATCTACACAAGAGTGAAGAGTTATAAATAGATACTCACGGCTGTCACGAACATGCAGGATGAGCCGTGCCACAAGTGCCAGGTACTCCTCCTGTAGGGACAGACACACGTCATCATTATTAAACCTACACCTACACCACACATGTACTAGTATGTACATATTATCAAACCTACACCTACACCAAAATGTACTAGTATGTACATATTATCAAACCTACACCTACACCACACATGTGGTGCTGTGTACCTAAACCCACATTTAGGTTCAGGTCCGGATTCAAGTCCAGAGGTTTAGGTTCAGTTCCACTCTGACTTGTAAGTCTGGACCTAAACCCATGGCATATACAAAATTGCATGTTGGCAACCTTGCAATGTTGTTTGGGCAAAACTTTGGCCTCATAACATGGAGGCCGACACTTCGCGATGCCCGATGGCAATGTTTTCTTCATTTTGCAGCAAAGATTTTGCAATCTATGGAAGGTTTTTGGTGGTTTGGAAAGAAAAGGGGTATGCAAAATGGTCTTTTTTGTAGTAAGTCTCTAATCAGCTCTTGACTTCTAAGTTTTTTTGGACTTGAATCTAAACATTTTTACAAGTCCGGAACCGGTCCAGCAAACCGGTACACAGCATCACACACATGTATGTACTACATATATGGACAAACCTTTGCTACAACGCAGTGTTCCCCCTGGCAAAAACAGATCACTGGCAAAACAATTCCAGTTCTTCTTCCCCTTTCGACCTCAAAATCATCTGAATAGAAAAACTATGACAATGGCCTGACATCTATAGGTCTGGGATGAAAACAATTAAGGCTTTTCTTACTAGATATTCAGATTTTCTTAAACACACCTAGATTTTAATACTAATGTGTCACCTTGCTTACTTTTCAATGTCTATCAGACACCTTCGTCAGATAGAGCTTCTGACTGGAGTTCTGCTTCTTGTAGATTGAAATGTGAGCAAGGTGAAAGAAGTACCGGTACTGATTGTATACTTTTATCAACCTGATGAAATTATGTTCAGACACCTTCTTTCAACTGTCAAGGTGTCAAGGAATAATGATATGATATGATATGATATGATATGATATGATATGAACATTGCATGTTCTTGCCCAGATGGGCTAAATGCACAAATGTGACCAAATGTGGTTGAGAGGATAAAAAACATGAGTATTGCATACTGGAACGCTATACATGTATTCTAATGCTAAGTGCTGGGAGTCTACATGTATATATTACAATTATTATAATACTATATACTACCTATATATATCATCTACTGTTAGTTGCCCTTTCTTCTCTCTTTTTGAAGCATCTGGAAACATAATTACATAGTTTGTCTACTGTACATAATGTACATTCGTTCTTGCATGTCTCTGACATCAAGTGTTTAAACATGTCCTGCTTTGACATTTTCTTACAATGAGTTACATAACTTGTCTAATTGTAAAGTATCGAATAGCATAATATGGTAAACACTGTCTTTTAGATCCTTAATATAAATAACGCAGTACGTTTCTTGCCTTTGGTGACGATTGTTGACGGCTACTTGCTTCAGCAATGTAATACAGGATATGAATTACGAAATGCACGTGACGTAGTTCATATAAAATGTATCCTATAGATATATCACAATGCATAAACAGTCCCACCCTAATATCTCCAGTACTGTTCACTGTTGTTAAGTTGTAGGACAGAGCAGCTCGACTGGTTTCGTGTCCGTAGGGTTGGTCTATATAACAATGTGCAGAGACATTATTGGGGCGTACTTTTGTGCTTGGCCACCCATCCCCCCTCCCGTCACCCCAGGGCTAATGTCGGTTCCCATTGTCTAAACCGTGGGAGCCAGTTAAGCAGAGCAGGGTCAGGCCACACCAATTTAATTTGTTGGTTCTCGGATTTTTCCAGAAGAAATATGAAGTGTTTTCGTGTGTTTTCGTGTGTGTTTGTTGGTTTTTGAATGCACAGTACTACTAGTCTAAGAATGATTGGATGGGAGGGGGAGATTTCGTAACCACAGATACTACATGTCACTGTGGGTACCCACTTTTGGCTTTTTACAACAAATTACAATGCTTAGGCCATACCAATTTAATTTGTTGGTTCTCTGACTTTTTCCAGAAAAAATATGAAGCGGTAAGATGAAAAAAATAAAAACATAAAAACAGGTCTAGGCGTCCTATTATTGCCCCAAATGCTATGATAGGAGCCATGAAGTCAACACAAAAGGCTGGGTTAATATCTAAACAATAACTTTTTAAAACTTCTTATCAAACCACTGCATTGGTAGATGGAAAAACTGTAACAACTAGGAAGGAAAGGACTTTCCTCAACTGTTGGGGGCAGCATATGAGCATTTTTGAGTTGATTCAGAACCAGAATCTTTTTTTTTTGCAAATCAGAAAAAAACAAAGAGGCAAATCCGAGAACCAGCAAATTAAATTGGTGTGGCCTCACGAACCTTCAAAAAATGGCTTCGACTCCAAAACAAGTCGTGTATGATATATTGTATCTCCATCAGAAATGTCAGAAATTTTAACATGCAGAAATACAAAGCCATCTGTGAACTAACTCATAACTCGTGGCTATATATAACTCTAAAGAAAGTTTGTATTAAATGTCAACCTGTGTTTGGAGCTAGGTAAACAAGATATAATACTGTATTGTTCATTACACTTAGTTATAAAACAGGAACCAGTTTTGTACAGCCACACCAATTCAACTTTTTGGTTCTTGTATTTCCATCCTATTCTAAGAAAAAAATTCACACAGAAAGATCTCTGTCAATAAAACACATCTACATGTAGTTGACATGTTATTGCCAGAAGTTTGCATCAAAAATTGTCAACCTACAATCACAGCTAGGTAAACAAGATATAATAATACATTGTATTGTTTGTTATACTTATGTAACAGGTAGCAGGTTTAGTTTTGTTAAGCCGAACTATATATGTACATGTATCTCATTTTGTTGGTTCTTGTATATCCGTCATATTCAAAGAAAAATCAAAAGAGAAAGATTTCAATAAACACATCTACTAGTAAGGTGTAGATGATCTGTAATTGACAGTATGAAAGCTAGGTAAACAAGATATAATAATTGTTTGTTACACTTATGTAACAGGTAGAAGGTTTTGTTAGGCCGAACTAACTCTTGGTCTATCTCTGTTCTATCTTAACAAAATTTATTATATAATAAATACATCTAAATGATCTGTCAGTTATTGCCTTGACAAATGCTAAAGAGTTTGTGCTTTCTAAAACAGGGGATATACAAATAAAGGAATTTTGCAAGCAACCATATTCTATGAAACATAATATACTAGTACATAAAATGTTCTTAATATCATCTTCCAGTCGTGACTCGGAAACAAAAAAATCTGACCATCCTAAACCACTTCTATGACACCTTATACAACAACCTTATATAAAAAAACCAATAAATCGAAGCACTCTTCCAGACCAGTGACTTGCTCTTGGAGAAGTAATTTGTGGATATAAGCTGACAGGGAGAATGCACAGAGCTGGAACTGATGTCTGTAGACAGTTTCCCACCCACTACAATATTACTGTATCTAGTCATGTATTTGACTTCAGCCATACAGATATATTTAAGGCCACACCAATTTCATTTGTTGGTTCTTGGATTTGCCTCTTCTTTTTTTTTCTTATTTGCAAAAGAAAAAAAATTCTGGTTCTGAATCAACTCAAATATGCTCATATTTTGCCCCCATTGTTGAAGAATGTCCTTTTCTTCCTAGTTCAAGTAGTTGTTACAGTTTTTCCTGCTTCATTGCAAATAAGTGCCATTCAGAAAAGTGTAGGAATATTACCCTTACTCATATGTTCAAAAGGCAGGTTTGTTTACATTCTGGTATTTTGTGGTGGTACCACAAACTGGGTGTACCTCGCGTGGGCTGTTTTAGTGCCAACCATAATGTCAGAAATGTAAGATAATTGCATAAAAATATGTTGAAAAGTGGAAGTAAATCACATGAAGATTTCTAAACTAAAATATTTCAATTTTCAGTGCAAAAATGCTCCTTTAAACTAAGTCTTTTCCAGAAATAATAGAACTGAGTACAAAGAGGTACAACAAAAAAAACAACACTGAAGAACACACATACCTCATACATGTAGTTCCTGTTTCACTAATATGTTATAAGATAAGCAACAATCTTGCCAACATAATCCTCTATTACTACTTACATGTACCTGCAAGTACATTGTAGCAACAACATCACTTACTGCAGACCCCCTACATGAACCAGATTATATCTCTTCCAACTGCAATAAAAACAGATTACCTTTGAAAGGCTCTTACCCTGGGTTGATGGTATTAACTGTGTGTTTATGACAAGGGGAAATTGACAGAAGATAGCTTAAAGGCATCCAATGCAATTTCAGGGCAGGAAAACAAAAATAATTTTCTGGATGAGAAATTCTGTCTAAATCTAATAGTATTGACATGTACGGTATGCGAGTCATTTTGAAGCACATTTTTTTACAATCATACTTGAAAAGCACCAAAAGAAGGTATGTGATTAGCCACTTTATTTTTTGGTACCACCAAAATACATGTATAACTAGATTCAGCCTACAATATGAAACATGCAACCATATACCATCAATGACATCACATTTTTGCCTCACAGTTACAATGTAGGCCACACCAATTTAATTTCTTGGTTAACGGATTCACTCGCTTCATTTTTTACTGATTTGCAAAAAAAATTCAGAATCAACTGCAAAATGCTCATATTTTACCCTGCACAGTTGAAAACAGTCCTTTTCTTCCTAGTTGTTACAGTTATTCCATCTTTCAATGCAGTGGTATCATTAAAAGTTCAAAATTCATTGTTTAAATTTTGAACCAGCCTGGTGTGTTGACTTCATGGCTCCTATCTTACCATTTGGATGATAGAATGCCACAATAGAATGCCTAGGCCTGTTTTATTATTTTTTTTCTCGCCCGCCTGCTCCATTATTTCTCTAGAAAAATATGTTAACCAAGAACTTAAATTGGTGTGGCCTTATCAGTATGCTATTGATGGGGTTGTTCCAACTTACATTTTTTGTACTACAT